AGGCGGGGAGGTGGTATACTAGGTGGGAGGTTAAAATAAAAGAAAGAAAGTAAAAGAAGAAAAGAAAACGAAAAAATAAAATAAGTGGCAGGGTGTTTGGGGTGGGGTGAACCTGGGACAGTGACAGGCCAGTGGCTCTCCAGCCACTGCAGTGTGGTGGGGTCTGGCTGCATGGGTGGGAGGTGGTGTATGGGGCTAGGTCTGAGGAAGAAGGTAAAGGAAAAGGGAGAAAAGAAAATAAAAATAACTGGCAGTGTGGTGGGGGCTGGCAAGTGGGTGCGGGGCATCCCAAGGGCCAGTTGGAAGGGAGAGGATGTGATGTGCAGAGCTAGGTGGGAGGGAGCAAGAAAAGAAAGAAGAGAATCAAAAGCAGAAAGGAAGAAAAATCACACTGAGGGAGCTGGCCGGTGCGAGTGGGGCAGACTGGGGGTTATAGCAAGCCAGTGTCTCTCTCGCTGTGTGGCACAGCACTACCCATCAGGAAGGGACAGAGGTGGCAAACTGGGCTAGGTGGGAGTGAGAAAGAAAAGGAAGAAAGGAAAAGAGAGAAAAAAGAAAAAAAGTGGCTTGGCAGGAGCCAGCCTGTGGGGGCTAGGTGTACCTGAGGGCCGATTGGAAGGGAAGGGATGTGATGTGTGGAGCGAGGTGGGAGGGAGAAAGAAAAGAAAGAAGGGAAACAAAAGCAGAGAAAAAAAATGGCAGTGCGACGGTAGCCGGCAGGTGGGGGTGGGGTAGGCCCAAGGAGTCCATGTTCTGGTGGCTTTATAGCCAAACCGTACGGCATAGCCCATTGAGAAGGTGCAGATGTGGCACATGGGGCTGGGCGGGCTGGAGGAAGAAAAGGAAGGAAGGGAAAGAGAGAGAAGAAAAAAATATGGCACTGAGGGAAAAGGCCTTTGGGGCAGGGTGGAACCAAGGTGGTGGTGAGTTGATGTCTCCCTCGCCAGGTGGCACAGCACAGCCTATCAGGAAGGGGTAGAGGTAGTGTTGGGGGCTGGGTGGGAGGGAGAAGGAAAAGGAAGTAAGGGAAAGAGAAAAAAATGGTGCTGAGGGAGCTGGCCTGTGGGGGCAGGGTGGACCCATGGTGTCAGTGAGCTGGTGTCTCTCCTGCTGAATGATTGTGGCCCATTGGGAAGTGGCGGAGGCAGCATACAGGGCAGAAGGGTGAGGGGTGGTAAAGCATGTGTCTCTGGTTACTGGGTACTCTGTCTACTGTTTGGAGCTCCACGAAGTTACCTTCTCTTACTCCCTGTCCTAGGTCATTGCTGGCTGTGCTCAAAGATGGCGAAGCTGTGCCACATTAGCTGGCAGGGGATCTCCACTCGGTAGCTCTCCTTTCTCTGTTCTTTTTCAGTTTCTTCTTCCGTTTGATGCTTGATCTAGTTCTTTATCCCTTCACTTGATGCTTAGGGATCCAGGATTAACGTTTGAATCTGTTTTACTTAGTTTTTCGGGTGTTTGCTGCAGAGGGATGGCATGGTGCTCCATGTTGGCCATTTCCCTTCTCATCAATTTTAATTAAAAGATTCCTTAAAGAAAATGAAAAGAAAAGAAAATATTTGCAATGTATACAATGGATAAGAGATTTGTATCCAGAATATACAAAGAACTACAGGCAGTCCTGGGTTACAAACATCTGACTTTCGTACAACCTGTAGTTACAAACCAATCCCATAAAACCTACCAGGAAAAAATTGACTCAGTGTTCTGCCCCACCTCCCACAATGGCTGTGCTTGTCCTGTGTGTGCAGGTGCTATAGTGGGTCCTTGAGTGGCCACTGGCAACAGACGGGCCCCTGTGACATAGTATGCTCAGTCACTGACTGCAGCAGTGAGTGGAAGGCCCACATGTACCCGCCTCCCTCTGAGCTCTGAAAGGGCCAGCCCCACCCACCGCATGCCCCTAGCACTGCATGGTGGGCCTGCAGGTGGTGATGGCTGCCACACTCTATGTGTTCTCTAAGTACAGCTGGTCAATGCGCCACACTGGCCACACGGCTGGACCTCTGTGTTGCCGTTTACCCAGCTCCGCCCTACCCCATCCCTCCAGGCCCTCCATGCCCAGGGCCATCACAAAGGTTCTTGGCCTCTTTTGATGGCTGGAAGTTGCGGGGGGCAATCTTAGATTCCTGACTTCTCTATGTCCATATGTTTTCTGGGGATCCATGGAGAACTTCGGACTTGGGTTTCCCTGAGCATACTATCTCCAACCCTTGGACCCCCCAGCTCACTCTTAGCATATCCTCAGCAGCACTTTCTTCCTTGCACCCCGAGTCAGGGGCCTCATAGTTGGTGCATGAAGTTGACAGGTCTGGTGAGGAGGTGATGCGTGGATGATCCATCTGGCCCAATCACCATCCTACCCATGCCCCCAACCCTCCCTGCCTGTGCTGAGGAGGGTTCAAAACCCAGGCAGCCCAGTGATACAATGTAGATTTTTTTAGTTCAGAGTCTACGATAAAGTATCTAGTTGATCTCTAAGATTTTACAGAACAGAATCTTCTGAGTATTTTGGGTAACATTTGTCCTGTTGGTATCTCTTCAGCTGTGGAGAAGGTACATACAGTGCTTCATAATAACAAATGGGCCGTACTTTGCGATGTGTTTAATAGTTATTATTACTGTATTATTATGTTAAAGATGTTTTAGTGTATCTGGAATGTTTCTTTTATGTTTTTATGCTTAGAAAGGTACACTATATACTATACGCTAAGAAAAACATTTGACCAGCTGACGTTAGATATGAACCATACTAACTGTTCTGACTTAACGTACTAAGATCCGCCTTACACAAGCCATGGTATTTTCAGTTGCCTCATGTGCGTGCGAAAGCTGGACAATGAGAAAGGAAGACCTAAGAAGAATTGACACATTTGAATTACGGTGTTGGCAGAAGAATAAGGATCCCTGATGGCACAGTGGTTAAGCACTCAGCTGCTAACTGAAAGGTTGGTGGTTCAAACCCACCAGCTGCTCTGCAGGAGAAAGATGTAGCAGTCTGCTTCTATAAAGATTTATAGCTTTGGAAACCCTATAGGACAGTTCTGCTCTGTCCCGTAGGATTGCTATGAGTTGGAATTGACTCTGTGGCAACAGGTTTGGTTTGGCTTGGTCTGGTTTAACATAAAAGGTGATGCAGGCCACACCCCAGGGAAACTCCTCTTACATTGGATCAGGGTTATAACCCGAGTAAGGGTATTGCATCCCACCTTAAGCTTCTTTAACATAACCTAATCTTGCCTCATTAACCACAGTCAGAGATTAGGATTTACAACATGTTGGAAAATCACATCAGATCACAAAATGGTGAACAGCCACCCAGTACTGGAAATCATGGCCTAGCCAAGTTGATCCACATTTTTAGGGAACACAGTTTAATCCATAACACTCTCTCTGTCGGCTCTGGAGGAAGGTCCTTGTTTCTTTTGAGCTTCTGCTCCTGGGTGATCTTCATGTGGTTTGGCATCTCTCTTTCCCCATCTCTGCTTGCTTTTCTGTCCTAATCTGCTCTTTTTATATCTCAAAGGTGATTGGCTTAAAACACATCATACACTGATACGGCCTCTTCATATAACCAAGAAAACCCATTCCCAGATGGGATTATAGCCACAGGTATAGCGGTTAGGATTTACAGTACATATTTTAGGAGGACACAGTTCAATCTGTAACAGCTCCCAACAGCCAGCACCCTTGGCTTCTTTTGAAAGGCCTGCACTCTGGCCGCTGGAGCCTCCTTTGCCCTGAATGCTGTAGTGCCTGAGATGGCCCTTTACCAGTGACTGTTGGGTTCAGAACTATGAAATCCTCAGCATCCTTGCTTTGGGGAATATGACAACTCTCAGGTATAACTTACACTCCAGAGTTCCTGTGTAGTGGGTTAAATAGTGCCCCCCCCCCCATATATATATGCTTGTGTGTGTGTGGGTATATATATATATGTCTACCTGGAACTTTTAGATCTCTTTTCTGTCACATTTTTCATCTTTTTTCTTTTTTTGCTCAGTGTTTTGGGAAACTGCCTCACATGCTATTTTAGCTCACTAATTTATCTTCACCTTCAGCCATTCTGTTCTTTAGTTCATCTCTTGATTTGAGAGTAGGGTAAATTATTGTGTCAAATTGTTTGTGTCCCTGCCTCCCCCGCCATCGAGAATTCTGATTGTTCTTTAATAGCTTATGTTTTGTTGTTGTTTTTATGGATGGAGTTCCCCCTTAAATCTCTCAGAGAATATTAATTATGCTCGTGTCAAAGATTTTTTTCACTTTCCCCTAATACCTGTTATCTCAGGGATTGATTCTTCTATTTATTTAGTTTAGGGCCTTTCTTTCATGCTGTTGGATTCTTCAAAAGCTGCGTGATTCTTAATTGTCTATATTGTAAGTGAGGGTCTAGATTGATAGTGTTGGTAGCTGGAGTGTATTTCCTTAGTCCCTGTGAAAATTTCTGTTCACATCGTGGGGAAAGCTGGTGCGCTGGTGTCTGTGAGTTAACTGGGACCCTGCTGCACTTCCCTGGCCCAGGTACTTAGTCGGGCACCTTGATTATCAGAACTCCCAGTGTAGAGAGCTGTACTTGGATGGTAGCCTTGGCCACACATATGGGGTTTATCTGCTCCAAGGGCAGATGAGGGGCATTAACCCAGCTCTTCGGCATCCTTTAATTAATTTTCTGACTGATCACCCAAAATATCTTCTTCCTGCCTTTGTTGCCTTGCATCTAGGCATTGTTCTAGGCATACTTCTGATAAAACTCATGTTTTTCAGAGTATGAGGTCCTCTCTCCTATCTGTTGGTTGATAGATTCCCCACTGCCAGTTTGTTGCCATCTGCTTTATTATCATCTGGAAACTGCTGTTGTGAGCTGCTGGTAGCATCCCTCTTGACTTTCCAGGATTAAGATGGATTTATTTTCATTTCATGTTTCTTCTGACATTTCAGTAGGATTTGAGGAAGAAGGAAAACACATCTTTATAATTGATCCTTTCTCTACTCTTATCTAGATTAGGACAGTCCAATCCAACCTTTTATCTCCAGAAGGGCATTCAAGCATATGTACTCAGGAAAAAACCACCTGGTTCACTTCTTCCGAAAGCACACAAGGTATGGTATACAGGTGCAATGATAAATATTTTAGTGTCAAATAAATTATTTTATTCATACAAAAATAATTTAAACCACTTTGAAAAGACATCTCATTATTACTAAGTAATAGAAAATGCATTTTATTTCTTAGCTAGATTAAAATTTCACTTGAATTTTATCCCTTTCCATTTTTAAAAAGGACTTGAGGTTGAAATCTCTAGGCTGTTAACCTTGAGCAACACCCAGTCTTCTTGTGGGTTTGAGTCCTCCCTCTACAGTTGGCCAGAAGTATAGTCATTCTGTGAATATTTTCAGTACTACTCATTTATGGATGTTTTCACTTTAGTTATATATTTAAATTATATAAAATAGGGACATTACTGTTTCATATAATAATATCTGCTCAAGGAATTATTTAATAAATTTGCTATGATTATTCTCTGATCGTTTAGTGATGAAAAGAAAGCTTTTAATAATCATTAGCTGATATTAGACTTATCAATGAGGATTATAAAAGATCTTCATTAAAAACTGAATTTTTCTATTTTCAGAAGATAGGTATTTACCATGGATTTTTAGAGAAGAGAACAGGAAAGGACAGATATCAAAGTGCTAGAGAACGTTAAAATCACTATGTGTATTCAAATATCACTATGTATATTCGACCTTTTGCTTAGCAGCCAAACTCTTAACCACTGTACCACCAGGGCTCCCAGTGTATATTTAGGGTATTATAATCACGTCTGATGGAGTCTATGGGTGGTGCAAATGGTTAAGCTCTTGTCCACTAACCAAAAAGTTGGAGGTTGGAGTCCACCCAACCTCTCTGGAAGAAAGGCTTGGTGAAAAATCAGCCACTGAAAACCCTATAGAGTATACTTCTGCTCTGATACACATGGGGTTGCCGTGTGTTAGAATTGACTTGATGGCAATTGTTTTTTTTTTTTTTTGAGTCATGTATCACAGATCACAGGTGCTTCCCAGGCCTAGCTCCACTTGGGAAGGACCATTGAGGAGTGGGGTTAATATCACAGTAATAGAAAATACAGATTCTGACGTAAACCTTTCCTTCTGTACTGTAACATCCTTGACTTTCTGGGCTCCATCAAATTCCTGGTAATATGAAGTAACTGGAATGGTTACGATCAAAAATACTGGGTAACTTTTATTAAATCTTCTCAACATGACATGACTGAAGGATCTGGAGTACAGGCATACCTCATTTGTTGTGCTTTTGCTTTATTACACTTCGCAGATACTGTGTTTTTTACAAACTGAAGATTTGTGGCATCTCTGCATCAAGCAAGTCTATCAGTGCCATTTTTCCAAAAGCAAGTGCTCACTTCATGTCTGTGTGTCGTATTTTAGTAATTCTTGCAATATTTCAAAATTTCATTATTTTTATATCTGTTATGGTGATCTGTGATCTTTGATGTTACTGTTGTAATTGTTTTGGGGTGCCATGAACCCTGCCCATAGAAGATGGCAAACTTAACCGACCAGCCATTCCCCTGTCCCTCTCCCTCTCCTTGGGCCTCCCTATTCCCTGGGACATGACAATATTGAAATTAAGCCAGTTAATAACCCTACAATGGCCTCTAAGTGTTCAAGTGAAAGGAAGAGTCGCATGTCTCTCACTTTAAATCAAAAGCTAGAAATGATTAAGCTTAGGGAGGAAGGCACGTTGAAAGCCAGGACAGGCTGAAAGCTAGGCCTCTTGTGCCAGACAATTAGCCAAGTTGTGAATGCAGAGGAAAAGTTCTTGAAGGAAATTAAAAGTGCTACTCAGCCTTATTGCTGATGCAGAGAAAGTTTTAGTGGTCTGGATAGAAGATCAAACCACCCACAACATTCTGTTAAGCCAAAGCCTAATCCAGAGCAAGGCAACAACTTTTTCAATTCTGTGAAGGCTGAGAGAGATGAGGAAGCTGCAGAAGAAAAGTTTGAAGCTAGCAGAGGTTGGTTCATGAGGTTTAAAGAAAGAAACCATCTCTATAACATAAAAGTGCAAGGTGAAGCAACAAGTGCTGATATGGAAGCTACAGCAAGTTATCCAGAAGATCTAGCTAACTGATGAAGGTGTCCACACTAAACAATAAATTTTCAGTGTAGATGAAACAGCCTTATATTGGAAGAAGATGCCATCTAGGACTTTCACAGCTAGAGAGGAAAATTCAATGCCTGGCTTCAAAGCTTCAAAGGACAGGCTGACTCTCTCGTTAGGGGCTAATGCAGCTGGTGACTTTAAGTTGAAGCCAATGCTCATTTACCATTCTGAAAATCCTAGGGCCCTTAAGAATTATGCTAAATCTACTCTGCCTGTTCTCTATAAATGGAACAACAAAGCCTGGATGACAGCAAATCTGTTTACAACATGTTTTACTGAACATTTTAAGCCTACTGTTGAGACCTCTGCTCAGAAAAAAAAGATACCTTTCAAAATGTTACTGCTCATTGACAATGCACCTGGTCACCCAAGAGCACCGATGAAGATGTACAAGGAGATGCTGTTTTCATGCCTACTAATACAGTATCCCTGGTGGCAAAGTAGTTAAGAGTTCAGGCTGCCAACCAAACAGTTGGCAGTTCGAACCCACCAGTTGCTCCTTGGAAATCCTAGGGGGCAGTTCTACTCTATCCTGTAGATTAGAATTAACTCGACAGCACACAACAACAACAGCAACACAACATCCATTCTGCAGCCCATGGATCCAGGAGTAATTTTGACTCTCAAGTCTTATTATTTAAGAAATACATTTTGTAAGGCTATAGCTCCATAGATAGTGATTCCTCTGATGGATCTGGGCAAAGTAAATTGAAAACTTTCTGGAAAGGATTCACCATTCTAGATGCCATTAAGAACATTTGTCATTTGTGGGAGAAGGTCAAAATATCAGCATTAACAGGAGTTTGGAAGAAGTTGATCCCAGCCCTCATGGATGACTTTGAAGGGTTCAAGACTTCAGTGGCGGAAGTAACTGCAGATGTCATGGAAATGGCAAGAGAACTAGAATTGGAAGTGAAACCTGAAGATGTAACTGACTTGCTGCAATCTCATGATAAAACTTCAACAGACGAGGAGTTGCTTCTTATGGATGAGCAAAGAAAGTGGTGTCTTGAAATGGAATCTATTCATGGTAAAGATGCTGTGAACATTGTTGAAATGACAACAAAGGATTAGAATTTTATATAAAGTTCGTTGATAAAGCTGCAGCAGAGTTTGAGAGGATTGACTCCAATTTTGAAAATTCTACTGTGTGTAAAATGCTATGAAACAGCATTATGTGCTACAGAGAAATCTTTCGTGAAAGAGTCAATTGATGCGGCAAACTTCATTGTTGTTTTATTTTAAGAAATTGCCACAGCCCCTCAGCCTTCAGCAACCACTACCCTGATCAATCAGCAGCCATCAGCATCGAGGCAAGATCCTCCACCAGCAAAAAGATTATGACTTGCTGAAAGCTCAGATGATGGTTAGCATTTTTTAGCAGTAAAGTATTTTTTAATTAAGGTATGTATTTTTTTTAGACATAATGCTATTGCACTTAATAGACTACCCAAACCAAAAACGAAGCTCATTACCATCGAGTCGATTCTGACTCATAGCAATAATATAGGACAGGGTATAACTGCACCATAGGGTTTCCAAGGAGCAGCTGGTAGATTCAAACTGCCGACCTTTTGGTTAGCAGCTGTAGCTCACCATAGCTCTTAACCACTGCACTACCAGGGCTCCTAATAGACAACAGTACAGTGTAAGCATAACTTTTATATGCACTGGGAAACCAAAAAGTTTGTGTAACTCACTGTATTGTGATAACTTGCTTTATTGCGGCGGTCTGGAACCAAGTCCACAATATCTATAAGGTATGCCTGTACTTTGTTTCAACTCCCTTCATTTTTCCTAAGTCTGCATTGCAAAAAAGTAATGCTCCCACTCTGCCATCGCTTCATTCTCTGGTCCCTTGCTAACCTTTATGTCTCCCCCACTTACCCAACAGCAGAGTGGTTATATTATAAAAACTTCTTGCTGCAGCCATCAGTCCATTGACTGCTCTCACCTGGACAGTGGTTTAGCCCCTTCTCAGCACCAATTATTGCAGCAGCAACCCTTTACTCCTGCTTTCCAAATGAGCTGCATGGTTTCCCCTCCTTAGGAGTGGCTGGTCACCATTACCTGAGTCTGGGGCAACGCAGCTTTGTGTACAGATGAGTCATCTTCACCTGGTCTGCACCACAGCTCTGCTGTAAGCTGCGTCCTGAGGTCCTCAGTGATAGACCTGTACAGCCACCCCAGCCTTCCTCTTAGTTGAGGAAGTCACTTTATTTGGACTCCTGCTTTGCATCTGCCTGACTTATCTCCCAGTAGTTATGCTGAGGTCCACAGTAGCCCTGGGCACCAGGAAGAATCCTCATACTCCCACCTTGGAAGCATGTGCCTGCTTTGATCTCCTGAAGAAGTGGGTGCTTTTCCCTTCCCACCAGCACCCAACAGCCTCCCCTACCACCCTGCAACTCCCAGTTTATAGCTTTATCCTCTACCTTGCCTGGAACATTTCCACTCTGACCCCCTAATCTTTCTGGTTCTCATCAGTATCCCTTTGGGGAGCCAAGCCAGCAGCACTTGGCCTGCATTCCCACATGGCAACAGTCCAGTAGAACAAGTTAGCAGTTTTCCCCTCTAGAGAGGACATGGGCTCTAAACTGTAGCAGTCCCACCTCTCTCTACCTGCTTCTTCTATTTACATCCTCTGGGTGGCCCTGTAGGCGTTTGAATTTATGACTTCTTTTTTTAGATCTGTACACTATTCTTTTTGTGTGTGGGGTAGGTAGGTTAGACAAGGATATGTTCTTTCTTAGAATATGTATTAGAAATGGTCAGAAATCAGTCATTTTATCCAAGTTCCGCAGCTCCTTGCTGTACTTCATTTTTCTTTTGCCTAGTTTGAAAAACCCTGTATCACCTTAAACCTTTTATCTTTTTCTATTTCCTTAACCCCCCAAAATCCTAGTATTCATAACACCTATTTAAATTATATATCATTAGAATAGACTATTTTGTTTCTGCCCAAGGATAACTACCCCATCACAAGAATTAGGTCTGAAAAAGAAATTCCTTCAAAGCTAGCATCCATAGTTTCTTAAGGAAGCTCTCTTTCGTCTATATGGATTATATTAACATATATAAAGATGTTTTACTCTCGGGTAACAAATTCAACAGGAGTCAACAGATCTAGTTCAAATCTTTGCCCCAGAATTTATTAGTCGTGGGACCCTGGATTAGGCATGTAATCTATCTGAGCTCAGCTTTCTCATCTGTAATAATGGACATCACTGCAGAGGAGAGAAAGGTACAATCTAGAGGACATCCAGCTATCTCTTCAGACCAGACCCTTTGCATGATGTTGAGGTCATTGAGATATTGTCTGGATCTTATCCTTAGTCTTAAAGGCACAGACCTTGGTTTTGTCAGAATATCTAGAAAAAACTGAACTCCAAGGGCACCCCTGCTAATTAGACTAAGCCTAGATTGATGTGTAAACCAGAGTGCTGGTTTTGAAATTTACAAAACTGACTGAACACTTAAATTGCAACAGTAGTATTCCTAAAAAGTCCTGTGTATCCCTTTCCTGTTAGTGCATCTTCTTCAAGTTTAACAATGATTATTAGCATTTGATGTGAAAACAGGCCAGATTAAGGGAACCTAAGAGTTTTTAGACATTTTTTAAAATGAGTTTTGAAACATAATTTATGTATATTAAATTGTATTTAGAATAGTATAAATTTGGAGGCTTCATGAAGAAGCTGAGGACAGATCACTTACTCTCTACTGGTTTGGGGATAAACAGTTTCTAGAAAGGAGCCAGTCTGACAGACTGAGTGCTATAGTCCTGAATGCACTCTGGATATGAGAAAACCCCGTGGGGCTACTTGTCTTGGCTCTAGCTGACTGTTGCTGAGAGCCAGAACAGAGACATGCCATGGTCCCCTTGGGAAGGATCAGAGAGAGAGAGAGTGAGCAAGGGGCTGCTGGAAACAAAGGGATGCTTTATGATAAAATCTGGAAGTGTTGGTCAGAGCCAGGATTAAGCCCCATGCAGGTGTCCATCCTTTCAGCCTGATTAGGTAATTGAATAGCCTGGAAAACTCATTTTTTAGTTCTGTCCTAATATATTAGTGATTGAGGTAAGAAAATTCCTTACTTACTTTTAAGGAAATTATTGTCATTATTCTCCAGGTTATTTGTTGCTATTGTTTTAGCATTTATTTCTAGCCTTAATGTTAGCTCATGAGTAGTTTTTAAATGTCTGTGTTTTTGATTTTTAATAACCCATCATTCTACTTAGATTTATAGAGAATTTCAAGTCCAGAAAGCCTTGTATTTGATTGGATTCCCTGTTCCCAAGCCTTTACTGTACTGCAGTGATGCTTCTATTATTGGAACAGAATTTTATGTGATGGAACATGTGCAGGTAAATTAGCATTTAATCTTATTTTGTTGTGGCTTTTATTTTTAATTCTGATGTTAGATGTTGCTAAATAGTATAATTTCTTATTCAGCATTTTAGGTAATTAGACAGCTTTGCAAAGGGTTAAACTTTTGTTTTAGTTTCAACACACACACAATGTGGAAGAGATGGAATAGAGTAGGAACAAATCTAGTTATTAGGATGTATTGACTTATTCTTGAATTTTCCTCTAGGTGTCAGTAAAGAGCTATATGTAATGGCAATAAACCAAACTCTCTGGATTGAGTGGTGGGGGGCTGAGGATAATTGGGAAGAAGGGAGTGAGAGTTTCCAAATAGAAAATCAAGCCACTAAGAACAATAAATAATCAAATTATTCTCATTTTTTGTAAAACATAGCATGAAAATAGTTTTGGGGCTTTAAGTTCATCATGGCTTATCCTTGTAGTTTCTTTTGAAGCATGTACTCTTATGTTAAACATGTCTTGCAAACGAATGTTTTCAAGCGTATTCTACAAAGATTTGGTTTTGGTTACAAAACTGTTATCCTGATCTTTTTCAGGCCTTGTAAAGAGTAGGAATGATGATATAGTAATTAATTGATATGGAAATTTTTTTTTTTTTTTTTTATAATCTCTTTCATAGGGGAGAATCTTTCGTGATTTCACAGTTCCTGGAGTTAGCCCAGCAGAGCGCTCGGCCATATATGTGGCCATGATTGAAACCTTGGCTCGATTACATTCCTTGAATGTACAGTCATTGCAGTTGGAGGGATATGGCAGGGGAACTGGGTGCTGCAAAAGACAGGTAATGCATCTACAGAGAGAGCTCCTTTTCTCAGGTTGTTGGAAATAATATACTATACATCATTAGTCAAAATACAAATCTATTATTTTATAGTTTTCTGAAATGTTGGCTATGACTTTTAATATCAACCTTCAGATTTACTTGTTTTCAGCATAAGATAATTTTCCTAATTTTTTCGCAGATCAGGTTTTGTTTAGAAAAAAACTTCTGTACATGGCAGCAGGTACATGAATGCAAATTGAAAGCCATTTCACGCTCTTCACTTAATTTTATCAGTATGTTTTATATACCATTTCCCTTTTTCAGCAAGTTAACATGTATTTATTACAAGTGACTGTGTGGTTAATACCTGCCAAGTACTGTGTAAAGTATCAAGAAAATAGAAGATAAGTCTTTCTCCTAAAGAAACTTATGGTCACTTTTGAGAGACCTATCTATGAATCTTATATACATAAAACAGCTTGAAAATGGTATGAATGAATGTATATATAATCTGGTATTTAATTTTTTGGTATTCATCGCGAGCAATGTGGCATTCAGAGGGTGGAGACTGGTGCGCTCTTGTTTAGTGAGGAAAGCTTCCTGGAAGAGAGATTTCTTGCAATGGGTATTTAAGGAAGAATAAAATTTACATAGAGTGATGAGGAAGAGATGTTGAGCATTTCGAATCAAAGGAACAGCAGGAGCAGGTATGTCTGGAGCTATTTCCCTTGTAAGCATGTCATTTTGGGAGCTCAGGAAGGCTGAGGAGAGAAAAAAGGGAACTAAGGTTTAGAGTATATTCAGTTTATGCCAAGTCCCATGCTAGGCGAGCTGTGGACCTTCTTTGTTTTGATTTTTGCAACAATCCTAAGACACAGGTATTATATTATTACCCCCATTTTTCAGATGAGGAAACAGAAACTTACAGAGATCAAGTAATATACAACTTGAAATTTAAACCCAGGTCAGTGTGACTACAATGATGAAAATCTTTACCCTACTGCACTAAATTGAGAAGAGATACCTTGGGGAGTGCAGAGAGATACTAGATGCTGTCAAATCAATTCTGACTCATGGCGACCCCATGTGTGTCAGAGTAGAACTGTGCTCCATAGGGCTTTCAATGGCTGATTTTTCAGAAGATCACCAGGCCTTTCTTCCAAGGCGCCTCTAGGTGGACTCCAACCTTCAGCCTTTTGGTTAGCAGCCAAGCATTAACCATTTGCACCACCCAGGGACTCTATGGAGAGATACAAGCAGATAAACAATATGGTCTCAGCTGATGGAGGACTTTGAGAATAGGTTGACTTGTTTGCATTCAAGTCTAAGAACAATAGAGAGTCTTTACACTTCTCATATCTGTAGTATATTAAGAAGATTCTATGAATAGTAAGAAAGGATACTAAAAGGAAAAGTAAATCTCCCCTGCTTTTTCTAACCCCCTATTGTCCTTTTCAGGAGTTTCTTCTTTCTTGTGACCCTTTCCAGAAATTTTCTATACCTATTTATTTGTGAATGTGTACTCTTTTTTTTTTTTCTTCCACAAAATAGTTGCAGAAAAAGACTAGAACCTCTGTCTCTTGTTGCCAAAAAAAAAAAAAAAAAACAGCCAAACTCCTTGCCATCAAGTCGATTCCGACTCATAGTGACCCTTTAGGACAGAGTAGAACTGCCTCATAGAGTTTCCAACGAGCACTTGGTAGATTTGAACTGACCACGTTTTGGTTATAACAGCCATAGCTCTTAACCACTATGCCACCAGGGTTTCCATCTTGTTGCCCATGCTAGTATTTTTATTTTTTTCCTGATAAAAAGCTAGGTAAGTAAAACGGAACTTGATAGAAAAAAAGCTGACATGAGTATTACTGACAGGCATTTGTCTTGAGCATTTAGGAGTAAAAGCAAATTGCGTATCATTGAAATTTGTTTTAAATTTAGGGCACTGTATCTTACATTCTATTTTCAGCTTTATCTGTTTTCTTATTTATGTATCTTTAGGTATCAACCTGGACAAAGCAGTATCAAGCTACAGCTCATCAGGACATCCCTGCCATAAGCCATCTATCTGACTGGCTAATGAAAAACTTGCCAGATAATGACAATGAACAATGTTTGCTTCATGGAGATTTCAAACTAGATAACATAGTTTTCCACCCTAAAGAGGTATGTAAAATACACTGAGTAGGTGTGATTTGGGACACAAGTACTAAATGGACACTACCCCAGAGCACTGAAGGAGCCCTCCTCATCCCCATTCTTACCCTGCAGTTAGGGACTACCTTCACCACTCAAAACTTTAAGAAATGAGTCCTGCCCACTGGCATAGGTAGCTACCCTACCTTTAAGGCTGGGTCTGATCCTGAGTGATACCTGATTTACTGCTTAAAAAGGACTTGAGAATTTGACATGCATATCACTGTTTTCCTCAAAGAAGTATTTCATTGGCTACTTAGCATATTTAGCTTATTCTTCTTCTTGCTCTTTCTTCTGGTTCATTTTCATTTCTTTTTTTTTTTTTCCTTATGAAGAAATTTTTGTTTATTATAAGCTTAAGAGAATAGTATTCCAAAAAACTCCTGAGTAACATTGTATGAAATTAATGTAAGCTTGCTCTGTGTAAATGTACTCAGTGTAATCTTTGTAAAGAGTACATATAAATCAAACCTATCATCCCCAATGAGCACAGACAATAAGGCCCCTGACTGGAGGAGCCTGATAGGAATGAGGAAACTGCTTCAGCTTTTCTGTCATTAACTGTATGCCTTTGGGCAAACCACTTAGCCTTTAGTATCTTACAGTAATGAGAACAGCTTAAAGTTCACTGACTCCTGCTTCATTAGTTTTCTCTAAATGTCAAGATGTTTTAGAGCAGGAGGAGTTACTGTAAGTTCATGTGCTAATTTCTGAGTTTCATGTGTTTTTCCTACAGAAAGAGTACGAGGGAAGATGCCATTATAAATTACATTGCTGCCATAATTAAAGTAGTTCAACATCAGTTGAAAGTCCAAAAATAATATAATATAAAGACGTGTGAGCACATTCATCAGCAGGACAGAAAATTTTTCATAGAAAAGTCAGTTTGAGTTTTAGAATTATGTCTATATAATTATATATGAGAACACCTGGGTGGCACAAACAGTTAAGCGCTCAACTACGAACTGGACTTACCCAGAGGCACCTCAGAAGACAGGCCTGGCAGTCTGCTTCTGAAAGGTCACATGGGATCACCATGAGTCGAAATCAACTCAACAGCAACTAACAACAACTATATATGCATGTTTTGTCAATGGCACTGATGAATTTTGAATTCGAACTTTGTTGAGTAGTTACCCTTATATTAGGAATTTTAAAGAATTTAATTTATAACCTGGACAAATTACAAGTTTATACTTTAAAACATAGCAGAAATTGGCCAATTGCATTTGATTGGTTAATATTTTAGGAGTCTGTCTTTGAATAAATCAGAATCCTATATGTGTCTGTAACTAGTACTTTATAATAATTACTTAAGGAAAAACAAATTCAGACCTCGATCTCCTAATGGTTTATGTGTTGTCTTCTAAGATGTTTACATTTTAGGATTAATCATGATATACTGAAAGTAATGGTAAACTACAGTAAATACCAAATAGTTTTTCCCCTTTTATATTTAATATCTGAGAGCTCTGGTAGCACAGTGGATAAAGTGCTCGACTACTAGCTGAAAGGCCGGCATATGGAAACCATCAGCAGCTCCATGAGAGAAAGATGTGGCAGTCTGCCTCCATAAAGATTTGCAGCCTTGGAAGGTTTTCGGTGTTATATTTAATATCATATTTAAAACAGTTTCTTACAGGATCAAAGTTGCCAAACGGATATCATCTTCCTTCAAAAAAGGAGGATATTCAATAGTTTGGGAGAGCCATTTTTTTAATAGACTATTTTTTAGAGCAGTTATAGATATGCAGAAAGTACAGACAGGTGCCATGCCCCCTGCACAGTTTCTCCTATTATTAATATTGTACATTCATGTGGTACGTTTGTCACAATCGATAAGCCAGTATTGATACATTGTTATTAACTACAGTCCACAGCTTACGTTAGTATTCACAAGCCATTTGTGTTTTAAGGAAATGACTGGGAAAGGCATTTAGCCGTAATATATGTAGCTTCGTTATTTAATGTTGTAGGATTATATAACAACTAGTAAAATGTCTTGTAGCCTATACTCAGTAACCTCCTAATAATTATTAGTTAAATCGAATTTAATCAAATTTGTGCCCTTCTCTGTAAATATTGTAGCTACGTCTCCTCCATGGCAATAACATATGGTTGGCAGAGTTCAAGTCAACTAGCATTTATTCATTACTAACTATGCACTCTCAGTCGTGGGATTAGAAAGAAAATACACCTCTTAATGAGCATAAAATTTAGATGGAGAGAAGAGATACTGAGGTAATAGCAGAGAGCAATATACACCCGAGTGCTAAAGTATGTCACAGAAGGTAAACTGCAAAAGCAGTCAGAAAAGGGAAGAGACGCACTGTGGACGGGTATTAACCAGGAACTACAAATACTTCAAAATTGAATTTTACTTAATAGTTTATCTTTACCACCTCTTTTAAAAAATGTCACAAGTAACTAGGAAATTAGACTGTTTCTTTTTTAGCGAGGGCATGCTACAGATTAGAAAATCAGCCCCTAGATTATAGCGAGGTATATATGTATATGCTCTCCTGTGTATATTCCTACGAATAGGATTGAAAGCTTTTTTTTTTCCTTTGAGGTTAAGGATTATATCTTTAATTCTTTCTTTTTTTTTTTTTTTTTCCTTTTCCTTTGCCTCTAGACTCTCTATATAAAACCTAAAACCCACTGTCATCAAGTTGATCCAACTCATAGTGACCCTGTAAGACAGAGTAGAACTGCCCACAGGGTTTCCAAAGCTGTAAATCTTTATGGAAGCAGACTGCCACATCTTTTTCCTCATGGAGCAGCCGGAGGATTTGAACTGCTGACTTTTCGGTTAGAAGCCAAGTGCTTTTAACCACTGTGCCAGCAGGGTTCCTGAACTCTATATAAAACCAAACCAAACCCACTGCTGTCAAGTCAATTCTGACTCATAGCAACCCTATAGCACAGAGTAGAACTGCCCCATAGGGTTTCCGAGGAGCAGCTGGTGGATTCGAACTGCTGACCTTTTGGTTAGCAGCCGTAGCACTTAACCACTATGCCACCAGGGCTCCATATATATATAGTACATGCTCAATAAATGAGAACCTGCTAGACTAGGAACTCCTTTACAGCAGTGACTGATCTTATGCTCAATGTCTAGAAGGGTACTTGGAATATAGGAGGTGCTTACATGATTCTCAGTGAATCTGTGTTGAAGGAATTGATTTTAGTGAATTCGTCATTAAGTAACTATTTCCACCTCATATGTTTGTTTAATTTTCTTTGCCTAGCAGTATGACCTTAAAGCAAATTACTTAACTCTTTCTGTGTCACAGTTTTTATTTTAACTTTTAATTTTGAAATAATTATGGACTCACAAGAATTTGTAAAAATAGAAAAACCAATCAATGTAATCCATCACATTAATAAAACAAAAGACAAGAACCACATGATCTTATCAATCCATGCAGAAAAGGCATTTGACAAAGGCTAACACCTATTCATGATAAAAACTCTCAACAAAATAGAAATAGAAAGGAAATTCCTTAACATGATTAAGAGCATTTTTACAAAGCCAACAGCCAACATCATCCTAAATGGAGAGAGTTTGAAAGCATTCCCCTTGAGAACTGGAACTAGGCAAGGATGCCCTTTATTACCACTCTTATTCAACACTGTGCTGGAGGTCCTAACTAGAGCAATTAGGCTAGAAAAAGAAATAAAGGACATCCAGATTGGTAGGGAAGAAGTAAAAGTATCTCTATTTGCAGACGATATGATCTTATACACAGAAAACCCCAAAGAATCCACAAGAAAACTACTGAACTAATACAAGATTTCAGCAAAGTATCAGGATAGAAGATAAACATACAAAATAAGTTGGATCCCTCTACACCAACAGAGAGAACTTTGAAGAGGAAATAACCAAATCAATACCATTTACAATAGCCCCCAAGAAGATAAAATACTTAGGAATAAATCTAGCCAGAGACGTAAAAGACCTATACAAGGAGAGCTACAAGGCACAACTGCAAGAAACCAAAAGAGACCTACATAAGTGGAAAAACATACCTTGCCCCTGGATAGGAAGACTCAATATTGTGAAAATGTCAATTCTACCCAAAGTGATCTACAGATACAGTGCAATCTTGATCCAAATTCCAATGGCATTTTTTTTTTTTTAATATTTTATTGTACTTCAGGTGAAGGCTTACAGAACAGATAG